GGCGGGGCGCGGAGCCTCTGTGCGGGCGGGCGGCTCACCAGCCAGCCGAGGGGGTCGGCTCCGCCGTGCTCAGCCGTGTCCCTGCCTTTTTCCCATCGTCGCGGAAAGGCTTGGCGTTTTTCTGATCAATCGAAAGCTCAGAATTGGGTGGTCTACGCGTCCACGGGTAACACACAGGGAAGTGCCACCGATTCTCGGAAATGCTGTGGAAAATCAGCAAAACACAGAGTGCTCCCAGGAGCCAAAACCTTTGTGGTAACAAGACGGCACAGGGTACGGAGGCGGCACAGCGCAGCACCAGGGGCTGCAGCATCCTCCTAGGACACTACTGCCAACAAGAGCGGCTTTTGGGAGAGAAAAGCCTTCAGTTTGTGCACCAGGAGGGGGAACAAAATGAACCCAAAATGCTGCGGTCCAGGAGTGGCCACAAATGCCTTTCTTCAGTCTCCTTTTTTAATTTTTCCACCTCTTTGAGGCTGGTAAAGCCTCCCTTTACTTCAGTGGTTGCTTTTCCCCATCCCCGGCTTTTCCATTTCTTGCCTTAATGCTTTGGTCTGTTTCAGGGAGTTTTAAATCGCGCAGTAGTGACTGCCCTTGTGGATTCAAGGCAGCCCTAAGTGGACTACGCTGACTGTTGCCTGTACCCACACCAGGCAGCGTGGCCCAGCCGCTCCTCCACAGGTCTTTGTGCTGAAACATCGCCCTCCTCCAGAGCACACCGTGAAAAGGCTGCTCCAGGCTCAGGCCTCGAGGAGATGTCCGTGGGTTGGACCAACAGGGACGTGAGGCAGCACACCTCGGCAGGGACCAAGAGCAAGGGCTTCAGCACAGCACCTGCGGGGAAGCAGGGAGCCCCTGTCAAGGCTCCCGCCAGCGTTTGCGCCAAGTGAGCTCCATTCACAACAGCCCCAAGGTCAGGCGGCTGCTTATCAGCCCTGGCCCCCAGCCAAGGCAGCCGGGGCCCCAGAGCGCAGGGGGATGTGCTCAGGGCCCCCGCTACTGCTCTCTGTTCTCTTTCACGCTTGGTATCGGGGACTCGTCATGAAATGCCAGCTGTCACTACTAACAGGCCAGCATATAAAGCTGCATCTCTGGTCCGGGTTCCCAGGTGACCGCAGGATCCGGGGGTTTTGCTTTGGGCCACTCTTGGCACCTGCCCCCACGACTGGGAACTAGAACAGTTCCTGGCTGTGGCAAGTTTTGGGGACTCGCCTGATTATCTTGCATGTTCGGGGACCTGCAGTTTTTGCAGTGTGTTGCAGCACTGATAGCAGGAGTCATGACAAGTGTCCTGAGAGAGATCAGAGCAGCCAGGAAATGGCTGACGGGACGAGCAGAGGCACGTGACCCGTGTTTGCTCTTGAGTAAATTGACGGTTACAGTCCACGCAGCCTCCTCACCCGCCTCTTGGGCACAGCGAGCCGTGGTGGTTTGAAGAAGAGGAATTTTTCTTCAGGGGTGACCTCTAGGGCAAGTGCCACAGAGGCATCTCTCTGCTGCCACTTCTGACGCTTGCTCAGGCTGGCACCTTCAGTCCTCTGGCTGGACCCGGGGATTTCACCTGAAGTAGGGAGTTTGCTTCTGGGGCCCTGCCCTTTTCGGACAAGAGCAGGTTAGGGCTTTCCCTTCCTTGATGAAGCGAGTTTTAAGGAAACCGAGTGAGTTGAACTTCTTTATTGGCTTGGAGCTGCGCCCTGTGCCCAGACACATTCTGTGGAGCCAGCCAAAATTGTATCCAGAGGCGTGCCAGGAGCTCCCGAGGGACTAGATGGGCTCAAGGGACACCTTTTGAGATGTGTGACAAGGGACGGTTGTCCTACGAGGTCAGAAGATTGCTGTTTAACAGCAACAGCAGTGAGTAATCACAAAGGTTGCAAAACACGCTTTCCTGCCTGCGGATTACGTCTTCTCCCCACTCCTGGTATCAAACTCCTTCCCCTGGCCGGGGGGCTGGCACTTGGCTCCTAGCTTTTCCCCTGCCCCTTTCACAGCTCCTTGCCTGGCTGGATCGCTCTCCATGAGCGCTGAGCTCTCATTTCCCAGGTCTGGTCTGGCTGCCTGTGTCCTCAGTTTCATCCCGAACAAAGGTGGCCTCCAGAGGTAGCAGATGCGACGGGAA